TCCCTGAGATCCATGATCCTTTATAATGGCGGCACCCCTAACTCTTCCAAAACTTGTTTCCCGTTATGTTTAGAATAGTATCCACCGTACAGAGAAATTGATATTTAGAATAGTAATTTTTAGATAATATATATTAAAAAATAGGAAATTTTTTTGCATTTACGTACCGAATATTTTATAATGTAAATAATATTTATGGTTGAAAATGAGTATGAAAAATGAAGCGTTTTAATTTAAAGAGAGTCAAACATGGGCTTAGTTCGTGTATGGTACAATTTTTTATAAAGTTAATGAAATATATAATTAAAAAATTGATAAATATTATGAATTTCATAAAATATGTGATAAAAACCCAGTTTAAAAAAATTAGAACCAAACAAGGCATAGAAAGATTAGTGTGGAAATCATTTAAGGACAACAAATCAAATGCTCCCTTGAGTTCTACTAATGCAAACAATTAACTCACACACACACATGCATATAAGAATGTAAGTTTATAAATTCAGCTTGTGTTTGAATCTAATTTTGAGGAGAATAGAAATTATGGAACAGTGATTGATGTGAGAATGTGTGGTGGAAAAGTGATGAAAAGTTTTTGATTTGTGTGTAATATTATTTTATTTGGAAAATGTGTAGTTGAAATAAAAAATGAGAATGAGAATAAGAAATTAACGAGTGTTAAGCGGAGGCTCAATATGCAGTTTGAACTTTGAACAATACTTTCAATCAAGCCTTGCTATTCAACGGAATATTGATAAAAGATGGAAATTCAAAAGAACTCCAAAGTTATCATACAATTTGTCGAAAAGTGAGAGAAAAACTTTGCGATAACTAATGCCTAAAATACCCAAATCTTAGAATTAAAATTAAATAGCAACTGAACGGACACAAAGTAACAAGTCCATCTATCCGCATGTTTACCACTTTGTGCTAACACTCTAAAACGTCTTGATATTCCAGGCCAAGGCCGTGTTTGGCGCATAATGTTTGTGATTTGTCATATTCAATGCATGTTTGGCAATGCTTAAATTTTAATTTAAATCGTCAAATAGACATTTTATCAGAATTGATCGTCTATCCCAAGGTGAATATGAGTTATCTTGCCAACCGTCAAGGTAACGTGGTGCCTACAATTTTTGATTATTTAATTTGAATTGTAAAAAGTGTTGGAATTTTTGTAT